ATCTTTTTTTAGTTTTAAAGTATAATGCAATTTCCGAAACCAAAGTGTCGATGTCAATGTGGAGTCAACTCGAGACTCAACTTTATACTAAACCTAAACTCTAATCTCATGAAATACACAAGTATTGGCTAAAATGTGGCTTAATATGCTCACATACTTGTTTTTGTTGCAGAAAATATGTATGTTATCACATTCATTTAAAATTTGACGAGGCTTGCTACTTACAAATTTTGTGTGTAAATCTAGGAAGAAATGTGAATTAGATTTTTTTACGAAATTACGTCTTACGAGTATTTTACATGTCTGCTTTGCAACAGGCATACACGCAAAATAAGTGCCTAGACGTTGAATTATTTTAAATTCTTATTTCCTAAGTACTTTATTAAAAAAGAAATTTGTAATTTTTATGTTATTAAGTTACGTCCAACCAGAAAATTTGCTGCCATGGTACTGCTCTAGAGGTATTACATACAAAGTAATCTAACAGAAAGCATGTGTTGTATAGATACATGAAGAAGATACGGCGTCATTATCATACGTCAAAATAAATCCATCTTAATCAATCCAGATTTAATGGTCCGTAAAACGAGCAAATATTAAAAATAATTAGGTATTTGGTTTGATTTCAACGTTCCTTACTTTACTTGCTGAGAAGGTTTATATTTTTCTTTAGAAAGTCTTGTGAAGTTCTCATCCTAGTGGACTAGAGTGGTGGACTCGAGAGAACACAGTTCATCAACTGTTCCTTATCCGTCGAAATACATACACACGTGTTATCCCGCATCATCGTTACGATGCAAGCAAAACTTCTATATTATTGAGATTCCGGTTGATTTTAAAAATTTGCCATTTACGAGATTTAAAACTATAGTGAAGCATAAACTTTATACTAAAGGTTATACACAGCTTCTGCGAACTTGGATGGTAAGAGTCCGTGGCAGTGACCCGTTTAGCTCTTGCGGGTAGTTTCAATCCAAAATGTTTGAAATAAATATTGTAAATGTCAAATGTATTCAAATGTATATTTAAAAGAACAACCCCTAGAGTTTCTGAGCACTAGAGTTTAATTAATATGCGATTTTAAGTGTAATTTGCTTACCTATAAAATAAAGTTAATTTGAATTTAAATTAGAATTTGAAAGATCTGATGCTGCAACAAGGACAAACTACTTACAATGGAATTATTTTGTACGGTTTTATTGTATTGGTCTACACGAGTTGTTAGCTTACATGTGGTAACTTTATTGGTCTTTCAATGGTCTTTCAATTATATCAACAACGTGGAATTTCTAAGAGATTTAATCGCTAACAAACAAACTAGTTATTCTACTTCGCGTAGTACCTCTTGGAAGTAGTATTGCGCCCAACGGTCCACTTTTCGTATTTAATAAAATTGTTAACATAACTCGGTATATTACAGGTAGGTAATAAGAAGTTTTGTTCAACGATGGGACATGTTTACGAACAATGCAACAAGTTATCTCTAAGGTTTAAGAGACTACTGTACAAATCAATCTTGGTGCCAATATGCCACTCTCCCGGTGGACCAGACTGTACAAAGATCTTTCAAAAATCGCCAATTTTGATAAAACTTCAGATGTAGGTGTTCAATGTTTTAAAACAAAAATTAGTAACTATTTTCAACGTTAAGTTTATCTATCTATGTGTCGTGACAAATTATAAATAATATTGACGTGACAATAATACTGAAGTGACAAAACAAAATATGTTGAAATTAATTTAAGTCTTGCATTTAAAAGATTTTAGCTTGGTAGTTATTTCATTAGAGTTCTATTCTGCCATAATACAAAAGCATTCATAACGGAATTATTCATTCACATTGTAATAATTTTTCATTATTCCACCTCACTTTGCCACTGCCACTCATGACAGGAAATCCGAAGTCCACACTATAAATAAATTACTTAGTATTCGGAAAATCGGATGCTTATTTATGTACAATTTGGGTACTCGCTCACATGGAACGCACATTACTATCAAAAAAATCCCGCATCACCGGGAGTGACGTACTTATTAAAGTGAAGGAGAAGCCAATATTTCAAACTTTATTTGTAATTTTATGTAACATTTAAATTAATTATATTAATTATAAAATAAATATAATAAAGTGGTAAATGTAAAAAAATCGGATATCAAGAAACAAGTATTGTTGTTTAATAGTTTTTTTTTAACAAAACCATAAGTCGTTTAAGTATGTATATTTTACACTTTTAGCCGTTGTAGTTTCTATCACTTGTAGCAGTACTGAGATCCATTTGTCATGCTCCTGTTATCGTTAGACCTTTAAGATTTGTAGTTAGGCAAAATACAATGCATTTAAAACGTAAAAATAGTAACAAGAGATGCCGTTATTACATTCCAGTACATAAAAGAAAAATAAATATGTTTTATGAAGCTGCTTCCACATTTCGACAGCAATGATGTGAAAAAATGAACTTTAAAAGCATCCAAAAAACCCAGCCACTACTAATTTTCTAGTGGCCGGATATTTGGGTTTATTAGCTAAACTAAATAAATTGTAAAATCGTATAATCTTAAATTTTGTAGCACTTTCCAGTACCGTGAAACCTGGTTATGTGAAGTCTTCATACATACGTACATAATAAACTCAATTCAGATTTTAACCAACATTAGAAAAGGAGAAGAAGATTCTCAATTCATCTACTTATTTATTTATGTATATTCCGACACAAAGTTTCCAAGACCAGGCTTCTAAGAAATACATGAAATATAATTTTTTTTAAATACATACTTATACCGTCGCTTATTTCTTTTTTGAATTCGATAAAATATACTCAAGTTTCTGTTCCAATTTTGCTCTCGCCTCCTGTTAATCTATCTCAGCCCTAACATAATAATTAAACGGTATCGTGTATTAGACAGACGTTAACTAGAGTTTGATTTTAACCAAGTTAAGTAGTCGTTGATTTAGTCAACTACAACTAAATGCGACGTTCTATTGAGAAATTTGAAGATTCCTGCTTTATTTTATTTATTGTACTTTCTTTCGGATGACGTATTACATTTTTTGTATACCCTATTCATTCGTCTACATATTATATCGATTCACACATGCGTCTGTCATTAATCTTTTTCTCATGGGTAGTAAGTATATCCTAAACTACAATATGTAACAGATTTAGGGAGGAAGTTCAAGGGGTCACAACTCACAACCACTACTGGTTTTACACTAATCATCGTTAGATTTCTATTAGTTAATTCGTTTACCATTAATCAACAATGTTACAGCTCGCTCAGTCGCCATTTGATTTTTGTTTACAAAGGGTAACTAAAGACCCACTGGGGCATCGTGCCCAGAAGGCTGGCAAGATTTGCCTTTTGGATTACTAAATTTATTCTTTGGCGGAAATAACTGCCAGTCTTGTGGTCACCAGAAGCTTCTACAAGGCGATCCGACAGCTCATTCGCTAAAAGTTTCGCCTTTTGTGATTCTCAGCCGCTCTGGCCACAGAGCCTGGGCCGCTCATGCTTACAAGGGCATGGGAGGGGGCTACTGTGTCCACACAGTTGCGTCTCACACAGTTGCGTCTGACACTAGCTGTCTCCCTAGCTTCCATGGACCTACCGCCAGGCCTCTTACCATAACTGCGACAGATGCCAGTGCGTTCAAGAAGTGCTGGTATCTTAGCGCTTGTGAAGGCCCGTACGTTGATGCTATTGAGCGCTGCGGGTCGGAATATGCGGCCAGCGCTTCGAGTACACGAGAGGCCATGGTAACACACGAAGTAGAAGAACTAAAGTAGAACTAAATAAAGGGACTAGTTAAAAGCACATGATTCTAAAGCACCACAACTTTCGTATAAAATTTAAAAAATACACTGTGTCTGAAAAAATGGTTAAATAAACGAAGACAGTCGGATTACACAAAAAGTTTACTACAGGTGTAAAAGAGGTGAAATGGGAAAAATCGTTCATTTATCCGTTCAGATTGGACTAGCCGATCATCGACAAAATAGACAAGCAACTCGCAGGGATTTTCTTTTTTTTTCCATTTAACTTCTGCACACTCTTTTAACTTCGTTTCCATCGAAAAGCGCCGACAGGCGTCTCGGAAAAAAAAGTTGTTAAGCACTGTTTGGTTTGAACGAAATAGCATAGTTAAATTAAGCTATTAACGGTTTTCATTGTACAAAGTACTTAATCGGATGAGGATTTAATGTCACACTGTCTATCTAACGACACATACCCTGCTTCTTATTTTCATATACATTTGTTGCGCATAAACGTCTTTTAATGTAAAGCTAAAAACACAGTTGAGAGTTGTTATTCTTTACATGGTTATTGTAATCATACATGCAATTATATCATACTAATATTCATAGTAAGTATTTATTTATACTATAGATATAACCAATAAAATAAATTTCGTTCAAAAAATTTTGGAAAAGGCTATTTTGACACAAGACGTCCTGAGAACAATCTAATGATCTCCTCCTATTCAAATTGTACACCTCATGCTTCACTTATGGGTATTCATGGGCAGACTCGGAATAAACGCGATCAATACGGTGTGTTTAGTGTACGGAGTGAACATCTCTTCAGCGTGGATAGACGGGCGTCGTTTCGTGAAAATTGTAGAATGATTCGAATTTAAAACATTCTGTTATTAAACTTTTTTCCGTGATGGTGGAATGCGCAATATATCGCAATAAACATATTTCATGCTCTCCGTGATCATCTTCATTTTGCGTGAATATGTATGCATATTTTATTAATTTTAAAGCACAGCGAATGAACACTGATTTCAGAGTAAGGACGTGAGTGCACTAATATTGGACCCTAGAGCTAACACGAAAGTTATTTCTTATAAATTCCTAATTGTAGAAGTAAGTGTAGTGTGATTAAATTTCATAAAGAATTTTTATATAAAGTGTCTCGTAACTAAAACCATACTTTCCATGATTTACTATTCCGTTATTGGATATCGATTATAATTTGCATTGTTTTGTTTGTTTCAGACAAAATGTCGTCGCCTAGACTGCCGTCTGACGTAGTCAAATGACAATAACTAGTTTAAAGGTATGTATAACATACAGTCTAATAATACCCCTAATATTGTTGATCTACATTTACTTGTAGTTCCCCTAAAATATGTGTGGATCCATTTTTAAATCTTCAACTATATGATATCCATAGTTTTATCGTAAGTTTTTGCAAGGCGACATTTGTCTCATATGACAGGCATCTGCGTTCACCTATGTTATAAAGATGACTTCCGTCTGCCAACCGTAATCAGGATCAAGTCAGGATTTTCAGCTATGACAATAGGAAGTCAGGTTAGATACTAAAAATATTTTTTACCTTTATATAGTAGTCGTAAAAATAGGGTATAACTTCGTAATTACGTAGTTTACGATCCCGACAAAAACGATAGGTAAAACAATCGTAATTCAATTTGAACCGAAATCGCATGGTCGTGTGTAATATTTTAAGAAAAAAAAACGATGATAGTTGAGAAAGTGGACTTGATATATATGAAGAAAAGTTGTATCACTGTTTTGTCTGTTAATTTATTCTAAACTCGTGACTCCTGGGATGAATAACAACACGAGAGCGTAAGATACGTGCGTAAATTTCGTAAGATGCCGAATGACTGATCATTAGATGTTTACAATATATCCTCGTATTTACACTCGGAACAGTGTCAAGTAGTTTTCAAGCTTGACATCACCATTAATCAATTTTAGTCTTCGATGTGTTTTCTGTCCTCAAAGTGCTTTGCTTAGCCTAACTTTCATTATGATCCCAAAGACACACGGAAAAACTAATCAGACAGGCTGGTTCATCCATGACATCGAATTTACTAGCTCTACCTAATGGTTGATAGTTCAGCAGTCTCCAAGCCTAGGACGCTCTTCATCATTAAATGTATTCTTATGTACGAGGTTAAAGGGTTGAGTGAACATTGTACAAATATTCTATAACTGATTTACAAAACATAGAGGATCTGGATGACATTGGTAAGAAGCTCTCTGACAAGTGCAGTAGAGAGTAGCGTATATTTGAATAATTTATCCGAAATTCGGAAAACCCAAGAGGACATTTTATTTTTCGGGAAGAATTTCACAGGATTGAAGGAGAAAACCTCAGCTGTTGCCGTAAATTTACATAAACACGGATATTGTGACCCTAAAATCTCAAACTCTACACCAGTGCAAGAAGATTTTTCGCCTTGGAAGGAAGGAAGAAGTGGAGAGGATGAGTTTGTGGATGCTCCTGAATATGTTCACGAAACAAAGTTAGATGAGCAGTTTCAGTCATTTTCTAGAGTCTCAAATAAATTTGGTAATGAGGATGATAATATTTCGGGACGCAGATATCCGACGCGAGATCGTAGGCCTCTGGATTACATCACGATTCATGTCGGCCGTCTGTCTTATGGACCAGGAAAGTGTTGACCAAAAATGGTTTTTCTTTTATGACACCAAGTGACGGTGTTCGCCCCGGGAGTCGTGAGCCTGGTGGTAAGCGACACTCCTGTTTTTTGTTGTTGTGTGTCTGCACGGCCGAAATACGTAAGGTGGCAGAACTTCCCTTGACGAACTCATTCACAAGGAGCTCTACTGCTACTACAAGTTATCGTGGTACTATCACTGGATATGACAAAGAAACTCGATCTCTGCCATGAACGAAGAGTACAATGCCTTTGTAAAGGATCATGGTATTTAGTAGACAAGTTAAGTCATGAGTCCTGTATTCCGTGCAGGTGGGTGTACAAACAGAAACGTGATGCGAAAGGTAACGTAATAAAGTACAAAGCTCGCTCAGTAGCGAAAGGTTTTCTACAAAAGGAAGGCGTCGATTATTACGAAACCTTTTCTCCGGTTGTACGTAATTCATCATTGCGAACCCTTTTAGCTCTTGTACGAAAATTACAAGGTCCGCCACATGGACGTGGATACTGCCTTTTTGAATGGCGATTTGCAAGAGGAAGCCTACATGGTGCAGTCAGAAGGATTTATTCGGAAAGGGGAAGGATGATTTTTTAAAGACACCAAGTGACGGGACGAAGAAGTCGTGGGCCTGGTGGAAAGCGACACGCCCTGTCCGTAACAGTTGCAGTGCCACTCAGAGCTGTCACCCTGATATATAAGTTGACAAGTCCCATGTGCTTGTAATTTTACCAGCACCGTTACCCATTAAAACCGGATGCTCACATTACTGCTTGGCGGCAGAAATAGGTAAGGTGGCAATACTTCCTTGGACGAAATCTTTCGCAAGGAGCTCTACTGCTACCAAAATATATGCTATGCTTATTAAAACGATTTTCTTATGTAAAACAAGCTCCTAGAGCTTAGAATACTATTTAAAACAGACCTAGGGCGAAATGGGATTTACCCACAGAAATCATTTACCTCAACTTCGTCTGAACCTTTATATTGTTTTCACAAAAAGTTTTCGAATTTTGCGAATGAAGACTTTGTGGTTTTGGTCGTATATGTCGATTACCTTGTCATTTTATCAGATATTACTTTATTTTTTTCCACCCTTTAAGGATATTACCTTAGAGGATGGAAAAAAATAAAGTTAAAACATAATTGAAAAGTTCAAATGTCAGTTGAAAAAATACTTTTCAACGAGGTTAAATCGTCGCGCAAAACGACGGAGCCATAGACACAAAAGTTGAAGTTGAAGTTGAAGCTAAAACCTCAAAAACAGTTGATCTTGCTGGCAAAATCTAAAAAGGCACCGCCAAAATGCAAAGAAAAGAGAAAAGATCTTGACAAATCCATAATATTTCACACACGAATTAATATATACCGTGATTAGAATGGGTTGAAATTATCCCAAGGTATGTATATTGAGACAGTGTTGAAGAAAGTTGATATGCAACGTTGTAAAGCGGTTTCTACACTTTATAAAGGGAAATTAGAACCTAGCACGGGTAAGTCTATTTACCCCTACTTGTACCAGGCTCTTGTTGGGTGCCTTAGACTCTTGTTGGGTGCCTTGCGTTTTTGGCAGTAACACTAGACTTGACCTAGCCTACATTTATGTGATCTGTGGCCTACACTGTAACAAGTTATCTCTACATGTGGAACATGATTGGTGTGGAACATTGCAAAGCTGTGCTTTCAGTACCTAAAGTGCACTAAAGACTTTGGTATTATTTACAGAAAAGCATGATATGATGAACTGTGAGATTGTTTAGATGCAAACTGGGCGAATTACCCAGTAGCCAGACGATCGTACACCGGGTTTTTACTTTGAACTTAGTGATGGTCCCGTGTTATGGCAATCGCGAAAGCAGCCCACTGTTGACTTATAGCAAATAAAGAGGCACGTCTTCTAAAAAGATTAATCTTTGACGTAACAGGTATTGTCTTTCAATTTAGTTCATCTTAGTCGAACTTAGCACATTGATATCAAATTTCTTTTTGATTTTGATTAGCTGATGCTGTAACAAAAACGTTAGATTTTTCTAACCATTTGAGTTATCGCAAAAGCATATGGGTTTAACTTGGTGTTATTTAGGTGCTTAACTTTTTAAACCTTTTCATCTTTCTGGCTAAGGGACCAGCAGTATATAGTAAAGGAGCATGTTATATATAGTAATAATACATCTTTTGTAATCAAATCTACTGGTAGTCAAAAATATTTCAATTGAGTAAGACTAAGTACTGTCACACTTCTTAGGAGATTATTTTCATACCTTATTAAACACAAAAAATATATGTTATAGTGACCTTGTTCATCTATATTTGTAATTCATTAAATATTTTATATACCATGTTGAGGAGTAGCGAAAGTTCGGCTAAAAGTAAAGCTTAATAAAATTATAATTTACAGAGAAAACTAAATATAACAGAAAAACAGAGAAGAGTGCACCATAAACAAAAAAATACATAAACAAAGAGCAATAGAAAAATACTAAAAAGATTTATATCAGTCCCGTCATGTAGCTGGTCCGCGACATCTTTCTATTATTTAATAAATTTTAGTGTTCGGTGTGCTCAAGCTGTTCTGCTTCCCCATCCTGTAACATGATTCTTAAAGTATCTGCACTACATGATGTTCGTGATGGGAGAAAATAAGGAAATTTAGAAAATGAAACTATTTTTTGGAGATGTAAATCGCGAATATTTGTTTTTTTCAAACAAACCAACGAGTCGAGCCCTTTACAGCACCCATGATCACGGCTGACTGAGGTAGTAAAGCCATCAACCAGTTATGCCTAATATTAATGCAAATCACCCTCTTTTGCATTATTATTACTAAAGTTATTAATTAATTACCGTATTTTTCATTTTTTCCAATGAACATATCAATTTACGCTACAATAATTTTACAAATTATTTTATTTGAACAATATAAATTATTTATTAATTAACTTTAATTGTTAATTAAATGGTAATCATCATAAATTTTGCCTGCATTTGATCCGCTGTTATGTCGTCAGTATCTTGCTGTTTGGTATGGAGTGTTGTACCTTGAGCATTATGCTCAAAGCTGGAGTCCTTTGAGATGTGGCTATACAGACGTATGTTTGGCGTATCGTGGGCACAAAAGGTCACCAATGTTGAGGTTCTTCGTCAAATGAGAAAAAAGCTGTAAATATTCAGAACTGTAAAGAAAATGAACTTGCAGTATTGTGGCCACGTAATGAAGGGCAATAGATAACGCACACGCACACGCACACGCACACGCACACGCACACGCACACGCACACGCACACGCACACGCACACGCACACGCACACGCACACG